CGACAATACAAATCTAACAAACGAACGCCCCGGCGTTCAGTAGATAGATTCCCCTAAATGAGGGGAATCATACGAATGGTAGCAATCGCATGGATGGCTAACCGTTCGGTATTTGTGGTTCACTGAAATAGACCGACCGCAGGGCCAGAATGCATGGAACTGTTTTCAGCTACTGAGTCCCTGCGGTCAGTCAAATCTTTAACAGGCTGTAACTCCCGAACCCCTGGTCCGATCTGGGTGAATTTCAAGTATGTTGCTCACCCAGATCAGACCTACCAGAGGACCCCTTATTTGTCCCGGTACCCCATGTATTTAGGGGACATCAAGAAAGTGGGGAAAACTCTGTCCCCACTAATCTGTTTAACTGTTAATCTAAGGGGAGGAGAGTGAGGGGAGGTGACCGGGTTACAATTGGTTACTGTACAAATTATGAAAGTTACCTCCCTTGCATGGGAGAAATGCATAAAAGCAGACCTGTGATTAAAGCTATCAGTTGACTCCCAGACTACGTGTCGTCTAGTCCTTGGGGAGGTGGATTATGCTGTGTTCCTGTGATTTTGTATGCTGAATCTTTGTTCCCAGTGGAGAGCCCTTGGATTAACCCCTGCTCCTCCGCTACAATGAGATTAAATTATATTTCGGAGAAAACACTACTCGTGCCACACCAATTCCAACTATATGGTGGGCTTTCGACAGTGTCATTCGAGGTTTTCCTATTCAGTTTGGGTCAGAAAAGAAAGAGGGATTATCCATTAATCAATTATATATGCCATTATATAATTTGAACACAGAAAATGAAAAAATCATACAAAAGAGAGATGTATAAAAATATTAAATATAATGTATAATCTGGATAAGATCAATGGATAAGATCAATAACATACTAGTTGCCAGAGTCAGCTATGCCCTACAAAAACTAAACCAGAATTGGTATTACAAAGGCAACAAAGCTGATAAATGCTTACTAACAAAATGAAAAATCGAAAGGCTAGGGTGAGGGTTGAAAAATTGGCTATTGATGGCCATATCTATAGAACCCCTAAATCTATTGGCCAGGCCTTTAACAATTTCTCCAAGCAGCCAGCTTCCAATATTGTCTGATGAGCAGTGTGAGGATATTTATGGGATGATAAATATTAAAATTAATATTTTTATAAAAATTATCAAAAACTAATTATATCAAAAATGTATGTATTGGCACTGTTTCCCTTGATTAATTTAAAGCAAAGAGTTACCCAGTATTTTAACTCTTATAGACCCTGAAGTACATTTTAGTAGAGAATTTGCATTTCACACATTAATCACAAACGATTTATAAAAATATAATTTATTGGGACAAATAATATGTAACATGCGTGACAATAATCAGTGAATATTTAGATATAACATAAGTATACAGTATGGCAGCAGTTATAACACAACTACAGATCGCTCAATAGCAACATATGTTTAATTCTAAAGGAGTTACATGCATAATTACAAATACTTCCTCTAGAATTCAGTCAACAGTTATATCCACATCAATGCAATTTTAGCAAAATTACAGGAATCCTTCAATTTAGGAATTATTTGACACGGATCTCACAACAGCTTTGAAATTCCTTTACACAGAACTTATCATACAGCAGCACAGCTTCCAGCCATAACTTTTGCTGTGAGTTTGGATCATACTGAGTTAACTCACTCGCTGCTGGTGATAATTCTCACATGAAAAACACCTTTAATATTGCAGCTAAAAAAAATACAATATTTTTCACAAGAAATCAGTTTAACTATTCCTTTTCCATTCAGTAAGCCAAAAGAATAATCCAACGAAAAATTGACATTGCCGGTGATTAACGTTCCTGATTAAAGATTAACTATCCCTAAATTGAGATAAGTCAATATCTCTGGATAATATAGCACGAAATACAGATAAGAGTGTTAGACAAAAACACAGATAAAAGTAGTTAGGCTAAATGTTGCAAGGAATCTGAGTAGGGAAAAAATAGAGAAAGAACAGTAAAACTAGCTCTAAAGCTGGAAAGAGGATCACCAGTCCTCTATAGGTACATATAACAATAAATTTCACTTATAAAAAAAAGATGAAAAAATATCCATGAGCTACAATATATATCCAACAATGGAGAATATAGTTTACATAAAATACATGACTGGGGAGTCCAATAAAATAGTAAATCCACAGTATAAAAAAAAAAAGTCCACAATAGCGGTAGTTGAAAAGTCCACAAACACTTGACACGTAAAGCGGCACTGTCATGCCGAACTTACCTTTTCCCAATCGATTCCTCTTCTCCCCTTCTCTCAGGATCTGTTATTCATTTCTTCCTGTCTGCTCTAGTTTTCTTTAAAACATAAGACAAAGTAGGGACTGCTTGCCTTATGGAGATTTCCTACGCCCGGCCAGCTATGACCAGCAGAGGAGCAAAGTGTGCTTCATTTCCGCTGGTCAGAGCAATTTTCCCATGATCCTTAGCTTTCCTCCCTGTTCCCGCAATGCTTCCTGTCAGTATTGACGAACGTCCTGTCATTTAGACAAAACGCCGGCAAAACTGCCGAATTGCAGAATGAGAACAGTTTCTCCATTCGTGTTAGAACGCAATTTGGGACTTTGTTCGGATCGCAATTTCATTCGAATGAATGAAACTCTGATCCTATTGGTGCTGCAGCCTGTGGCTGCTCACTGTTAAAAAAACAAACAAAAAAAGCCCCCACACCTCCCGAGCCCTCAACTGTGCCGCGCGAGAGGGGGCTATTAAACTGAAGCTGGGACCTAGAGCCCCAGCCCCCACCCCTGAGTGGTGGGTGGTGGCCCTAAAGGACAATGGGGGGACCTATTGTCCTCCCACCCAGCCCCCACCCCTGCACGGTGGGTGGGGGCCCTGAATGAGAATGTGGGGGGCAACCTATTTTCCTCCCCCCCGGCCCCCACCCCTAAGCAGCGGGTGGGGGCCCTAAAGGATAATGGGGGGATCTATTGTCCTCCCCCTGGCCTCCACCCCTGCACAATGGGTGGTGGCCCTAAATGAGAATGTGGAGGGGAACCTATTTTCCGACCCCTCGGCCCCCACCCCTGAGTGGTGGGGGCCCTAAAGGATAATTGGGGTACCTATTGTTCTCACCCCTGTCCCCCACCCCTCCGTGGCGGGTGTGGGTACTAAATAACAATAAGGGGGACACACCTACTGTCCTCCCCTTAGCTCCCACCCCTGCGCGGCAGGTGGGGGCCCTAAATGAGAATGTGGGGGGTGTAGCGGATGGCACTGGACTGTCCTCCAAGATTATGCTTAAAAGACAATTTGTGTGTTTGTTTTCCTGTATAATTAAAATTGTATGTAGAATTCGTATGTTTGTTCGGTAGTTTTCATCCGTATTTCATACGAATGAAAACGACAGAATCAATAGACCACCCCAGAGAGAAGTGTGTACCTCATTAGGCTTTCACACTTTTCTAACCGCAGTCAATCGGTACTTTATTGCTATATCTGGGTGGCCGCCATTCAGTAAGCGAACATGTGGCGGCGGCCATTTTACGCACGAACTCTCAGCATTGTTTGGTCGTCGAGTGTCTGGAACTCAAATCGGACACTCAATTACCCGAACACCACTGCGACCTCTAGAGCTCCGCAACTCCCGAACGGAGGGGCCAATTAGCCCCTCGTTCGGTGAGTTCAACGTACCGAACAAGGGGATTCATACAAATGCGTTGTTAATAGTGGATGGCAAAGATTTATGGATGTTTTACCTCCTGAACGGAGACCGACCGCAGGGCCAAAACACATGGAACCCTTTTCGGCTACCACCTCGTGTGCGGTTGGTCAAATTGTTTATTCCCCAAATTACCGAACCCCTGGTCCGATCTGGGTGAATTTTGAGTATGTTAGCTTCCCAGGTCAGGGCTACCAGGGGGTACCACTTAGACCCTTGTACCCCACAGTTTTGGGGTACATCCAGAAACCGGATAAAACTTTAACAGAGATA